CGTGAGACATATGTAACCTAGTCTGGACCGTGATGACGCCTAACATTTTACTTGCTAGGCAAGCCAACGTTAGAACAATTTATCCTTTTAACAATTTAAATTTAATTAATGAAGAAGAATTGATTTAACTGCAATAATCCAAATATAAATGCGAAAGCTAAAATCGTAAAAACATCTGTTACAAATCCCCGAACCCGGTGTCACAAGTGCACGAGCTTCTAGAGTAATACATACAAGATGCATTTACGTCTTTTGGTGTTAGATTTGACAAAGAACTTGCATCTTCATGGAATAGAGTTTACACCTTTAAGGCACAAGGTCAAATTTATCACGATCTTTTGTCATTGCTTCCACGTGAGGATAACCCATGTTATTTTCAGTTATATCTTTTTGAGATAGACAATGAGTTATGCAATCATATTTCAAAACTGCAAGAAGCCAACTTATCTGAGGAAGTTGTGACAGAAATTAGGCAGCTAATGGATGGGAATCCTTATGCACAATTCTTTTTCCACCTAAAGGACCATTCAAGCTTCCAAGATTTACAGATTCGAATTGCTGCTAATGCTACACTAGATCAACGTGTCTACAACAAACCATTGGTAAATCAAGTTTTTGCAATTTTGATAGATGGAAACAATCCAAATGTACCATTCTATAGAGAGATTATCGTTCATGAGCATTCCGGCAACAAACATAGAGTCAAACATTATTATGGTTGCTATGACCCACTCCAATATCCTCTACTTTTTCCAAATGGAGAAGTAGGCTGGCACCAAGGAATACACAAATATAGATCAAAAAGAGCTGCAAGTACATCTGAAGTTGCAAATGTAAACCAGAATGTCCCAATATTCACGTCCGCTAATGAGGTGTTTGACAAAGAGGAGCAAGGTAAAGTATTGCAATTAAATTACGTAGCACCTTAGTTTTCTTATTTGAATATTACCTACACCAATAGATATTAATGTTTCTTATAGGTGTACGTCGTGAATCTAAATCATGTGTGTCTTGTAGAGAGTATTATTGCCACAAATTACAAATACCCAAAGGAGAAAAGACAATACTACTATTGTGCGGACGGTTATTGGAGCAATTTGTGGTTGACATGTACATCAAGTTAGAAACAACAAGACTTGAATATTTTAGATTAGAGCAAGTGCTACTTAGAAGGGAAATATTACAAGGTATAGTTGATAGTATCATGGCTGGAGAATATAGAGAAGATAAAGTTGGCCAAAGAGTAATACTTCCAGCATCATTCATCGGAGGCCCTAGATATATGTGTCGTAGGTATATGGATGCAATGGCTTTGGTTCAACGTTTTGGAAAACCAGATTTGTTTATCACAATGACATGTAATCCCGATTGGGTGGAGATCCAGGAAAATCTGTGCGAAGGATAACTTCCACAAGATAGACCAGACTTAGTGACTAGAGCTTTTAGGGCAAAATTGCATGATTTAAAGGATCGGATTTTCAAGAAAAAAATATTTGGTCCTGGTGCGGCACATGTATTCGTGGTTGAATTCAAAAAAGAGTCCTACCACACGTACACCTTTTGATAATGCTTGAACAAGGGTACAAGATAACATCAGACCACTACGACAAGTTTATTTCCGCGGAACTTCCTCATAAAGAAGAATATCCACTCTTGCATGACGTAGTTGTCAAGCATATGATGCATGGTCCATGTGGAAAATATTGTCCAACAAATTCATGCATGAAGGATGGTCAATGCAAGAATCACTATCCTAGGCCATTTAGTAATAAATCAATACAAGGAAAGGATGGATACCCTATTTATAAGAGAAGAAATGATGGAAAGACAGTAAATGTAATGGCATGAAAATGAATAATCAGTGGGTTGTACCATATAATCCTTACTTACTAACTAGATACAATTGACATATTAATGTGGAGTCTTGCTCTGGAGTGAAAGCAATCAAGTATCTCTACAAGTATATATATATATATATATATATATATATATATATAAAGGGCATGATAGGTGTATTGTTTGTATTGAATCAGATGATGGCGAAAAAGTCGGTTGATGAAATTCAAAATTTTCAAGACGCACGTTGGGTGTCTCCGCCAGAAGCACTATGGAGAATTTATGAATTCCATCCCAGTGAAATGCAACCTTCTGTAATTAACCTTGAACTACATCTCCCGGATAGACAAACAGGTAAATATTTATATCCAACAAGGTTAATTAAAACTTTTGATGAAATAACTAACTATACAAGTTTATGTGAAATGTCAATACATAGTGTGCTATTGGAGCAAGCAAAATTTACAAAATATGATTGCGTGGGAATATGCGACGCTAACCATGCTCAGAGTATTTTCGGACATGCTCGAGGGATACTGAAGCACGGCAATACCTATACAAAGAATTTCCAGAGTATTATGTCTGGAACTCACAGGGAAAGATATGGACGAAAAGAAAAACAAGATCAGTTATTGGTCGAATTGCTGCTGGTAAGATGATCTATCTATTCTCTTTCAGATAAGTCTTGATGAAATTAATAATTTGAAACATATTAGTCTTGCAGGATTGGGCACTTTCTGTTTGATAAATTAAAATAATTAAGGCATCAACCAGTGTGTAGCTTTTGTTCAAGAATAAATGTATTCATAAGAAGGTTCAATTTAGAAAATACTGTTGTTTACTAGCCACGATTTTATTCCCCTAGAAAGAAGGAGAGTATTGTTAAAATAATTTATATTAACTGGTACAGCTGAGAAAGTCGTTTTCCTGTTTAAAATCCATCGTGCATGGTCGGTGTTTGAATAAAAATCAATTCTAAATAAAACAACATTATAAAAAACAGACAAAAAAAGGTCTTAATTGTTGAATATCATAAGCTGACAGAGGAATCTGAAATTCTTATATTATATCGAATTAAATAATGTTTTCATCACTGGGATGATGACTTCCTTGTAAATGTAATTGAAGGTTCCTGATATTACTTCTGCTATATGAGTACTCACTATCCATTGCTCCATTTAAACTCATCCAGATATTACAATAATACTAAACTATCTTGCTTTATCGACTTTATGCTGGTTAGTTTCTCTTGATTTCAAGATTTGAATGCTTTTGCTTAAACTCGATTATGTAGTCTTTATTTTACTGCTTTCCTGTTGGTTTCCTAGCATCTATACTGTTTGTAGGTATAGCTTATGTGTATGGTTTTAGCAAATTTATCACTAACTTGATATGTACTCACATATCTGCTGCCTACCCGGTAGGGTAATTGAGATGCACATTCGGCCTCCATTATTATAAGAAAATATATCAAATGCTTATGTATAACTCACAGTTAGGATTTAACCGACATTGGCTCAAGCAACTAGCTCTGCTCATTAAGGATCACAACTACCAATCATAGTCGTTGGCCAATAAATTAGTTGTGAATGATGTGGTTCATTTGGGTAACATTTTCTTATATTGGGAACTTGAGTATTAAATTATTTCTTCATTCTGATTCAAGTTGCATGACCTCATGATTGAGCTGGTGGCAATATGCTTCTTTTTGTTTTTTGCATTTGATTCACGGACTGAGAACATAGTTGGTGTAAGAGTTTAATTATTAACTTTATATAATATTATTCTTTGTTTTTGTTATTGAATAGATTATACGATTAATTGACGAAGGAACAAAAGTATAGCTATACGTTGAGAAAATAAAGACTCTTCTTTTGGCCATAATTTACTCTACAGTTAATAGAAGACCTGGAATACTACTTGGTACGAACACTACACTAAAATACTCCTTTCCCTTTCATTTTATATGCAGTGTTGTTCTAAATATAAGAAGGTGTCTCTATTTGAAATATACTAAAAAGAAAAGAGTAAAGTATGCCACTAAAATGAAACAGATAACTTACCAGCAGTTGAGGTGACATAGGTGGGAGTGCCATCTTTGAAGTTTTGGTTTCTTGTGATTCTTGTCTTTGTTTGGACCATCTCCAAGGTATTTAGGAGATGCTTTTAAAAACATTTTCCCAATTCTTTTGCACTGACAACTTCCCTCTTTACAGTTGAAACTAAAATTTTAATTGATATAAACAACTTTGTTATACTTATTGCTTCATTATGCATATTTTTGCAAATATATTCTATTGATAGTATGTACCCTGCTGTATTTTTTCTGGATCAATGATAATGATTAGTCTTGATGGTTAATATAGAATTTTACTCACTGTTACAGCTAATCCTAGAGAAGGCGAAAGGTATTATTTGAGACTATTGTTGAATCACGTCAGAGGACCGTTATCGTTTAAAGACTTGCTAACTGTTAATGAAAGACAGTGTGAAACATTCAAAGAAGCTGCAAAAGAAAGAGGTTTGTTAGAATCAGACAACAGCATTTCAGAATGCTTACGTGAAGCAGTCCTTTTCAAAATGCCATCAGCTCTGAAAAATTTATTTGCAACAATTTTGGTTCATTGTAATCCAACGGACATTAGGAAGCTCTGGGAAACCTATTATGAAGACATGTCAGAAGATTTTAGAAAAATACATGACAATTCTCCTGTTGCTCAACTCCAATGCACGTTGAAGAGCATCAATTATTTCTTAGAGGGCATGGCCAAGAAAATTGACAAGTATGACATATCTAAACTTGATCATGAGAGGGATAACGGTAATATATCCGAATGCAGAAAAATAATCGAAGAAAGGTCTATAAAAGTGTCCCCGGAAGATTCTGATGCACAATCAAATCTAAATCCTGAACAAGAACAAGCTTTTAAGACTATATTACAGAGAGTCGACTCTGGCAGAGCGGGATTGTTCTTTGTAGATGGACCTGGAGAAACTGGAAAAACATTCCTATATCGTGCGTTGCTTGCAAATCTCATATCAAGAAGCATGATAGCATTTTCAACGGCAACAAGTGGTGTAGCAGCTTAATTTTACCCGGAGATCGTACAACTCATTCTAGATTCGACATCCCTCTTCAAACAACTGATACAACAATCACAAATATGTCAAAGCAAAGTGGCGGTGCTAAATTGATAAGAAAATCAAAGCTAATAATTTGGGATGAAGCACCTATGGCTAATCGTCAGACAATTGAAATCGTTGATAGGAGCTTCAGAGATATAATGGATATTAATGAACCATTTGATGGAAAAGTCGTGGTCTTCGGAGGTGATTTTCGTCAAGTACTACCGGTAGTTCCAAAATCTACAAGAGCTGAAACAATAAATGCAAGCTTAGTAACATCATACTTGGGGAATAAAATGGAAAAGATTCAATTAACAAGAAATATGAGGGCAAGAGCAGATCCAACATTTAACGATTTCTTACAACGGATTGGTAATGGAGATGAACCTACAATAAGAGATGATATGGTCCTTCTTCCAGAAAAATTGATCATCAAACATGATGGTGATAGTACTGGTGAAGATAATTTAATAAGAGAAATATTTCCATCTTTAGATGAAAAGTCAAGTTGTGCGAAATATATGACAGAAAGGGCTATTTTGGCTAGCAGAAATGAGTATGTTGATCAACTCAATTGTAACGACCCGACCGATCATTTTGAGCTCTAGCGCGTCATTCGACAGTTTGAGGTCATGAGCAGCTTCACTTCAGGTATAATGACTTGTGCGTATGGTCGAAATTGAATTTTGGGAAAGTTCGGAGTTGATTTGGAGGGAAAATTCTAATTTCTGAAGCCTTAAGTTGGAGGAATTGGTTAAGGTGTGAATTTTGAGAAAACGATCTCGAAAACGGTATTTGAAGGTTCCAGCAGATTCATATGATGATTTCAGATTAGGGCGTATAATCGGATCGGGTTTTGGATGCCCCGGGAGCGTTTCAGCACCTATGGAAGTTAGCATTTTGGAAGAATTTCATAAGTTTAGGTTGAAGTGCATTTCATTGTTAGCAATGTCCGTTTGGGAATCCGAGCCTGGGAATAGCTCCGTATGGTGATTCTGGTGTTGGGAGAGCATCCGGAAGTGGATTTGGAGGTCCGTAGGTCATTTTGGCATCATTTGGCGAAAGTTAGAAATTTAGATAATTTTGAGAAGTTTGACCGGGAGTGAACTTTTTGATATCGGGGTCGGATTCCTATTTCGAAAGTTGGAGTAGGTCCATAATGTCAATTATGACTTGTGTGCAAAATTTGAGGTCAATCGGACGTGATTTGATAGGTTTTGATCTCGAATGTAGAAGTTGAAATTCTAAATTTCATTAAGTTTGGAATGGGGTGCGATTCATGAATCCGACGTCGTTTGATGTGATTTGAAGGCTCGACTAAGTTCATAACGTATTTTGGGACGTGTTGGTATATTTGGTTGAGGTCCCGGGTAGTTAACGGATCGAATTTGGAATTTGAAGAAGAGTTGATGCAGCTGATATCTGGTGTACCCGCACCTGCGAGGTTTTGACCGCAGGTGCGGAGGGCGCAGAAGCGACATTAGAGTCGTAGGTGCGGAGTAGGCTGGCCAGGTGAAGGACCGCAAGTGCGGAGCTTTTGGCCGCATCTGCGCAAGCGCAGAAGCGGAAAGTGCCTCGCAGAAGCGGAAGCAAGCGCAGAAGCAGAAGATTTCTCGCACCTGCGAAGCCGCAGGTGCAGCTACTTGACTGCAGGTGCGAAGGACGGGGCTGGGCAGTGTGTTCTTTAAAAACGAGGGCTTGGCTCATTTTCACCCCATTTTCTCCATGAGAGCCGGTCTTGGAGCGATTTTGGAGCTCATTCTTCGTCATCAATGCCAAGGTAAGTGATTTCCACTTATTATAAGTTAATGCATGGTTTGTATAATGATTTAAACATGAAAATTAGTAGAAATTGTGGGATTTTGGTAGAAAACCTAGAATTTAGTATTTGTGAATTTTTACCACGAATTTGAGTATGGAATTAGGCATAAAATTATATATTTGAGTTCGTGATGCTATGGGTAAATTTATCTTCGAAAAATTTTGGAATCCGGGCACGTGAGCCTGAGGATTATTTTATTGACTTTTCGAACGGAGTTGGGAATTGTTGTAAATAGGATTATAATGACTATTAGAGTATATATTTATGGATTTGCTTACTTATTGACTAGTTTTGGAGCGTTGGGCATCGATTTGAGTTGATTGAATGGCTTGGGAGCCGGTTATGAAACTTTGGAGCGAGGTAAGTCTCCTTTCTAATCTTGTAAGAGAGAATTTACCCTATAGGTGAAAAAAATCAATATGTGCTCCTATTTGTGGGGGCTACGTATGCACGAGGTGACGAGAGTCCGTGCGTAGCTACTATTATGCTTGAGTTCGGGTAGTCTAGGACCTAAAAGCATGCTCTACTTGTAATATTCGCAACCTTATTGTCAATTTAAAATGCCTAAATCATATCGAACTTGGTAAATGAACTTTCTAAAAATCTAAACATCATTTCTTGACTGTTAAAAGAGTCATTGCCATTTCCTTGGATAATTCCCCCTTGATGAAGTCTTGATTGACTGTTTTAATGTGCTTATCTTTGTGGAACGGGTCGAACGCATCAACAGATTAAATATATGCATCTATGGTTCGCGCCATTTGATCCTCTGGAAGTGCACAGTTTAAATATTTGTTGGATCGGGCCATACGATCTCGGCATGATTTGCGCATGCTTGTATTGCTTGCCTTGAAATTTATAAATAATGATATTGCCTCCTCGGCCTGAGTTAAATTGTTAAATAATGAGAGATAAATTTGAAGATTTCTTAATTATGAAAGAACTGCTTACTTACTTCAAAATATGGAGCAAGCAACCGTTCATATAATCCATACTTAATTATATTAGTGATATCCCATTTATAGCCCATAGTAAGTGTCGAAGTCGACCCATCTTCACTACTTCTTCGGGGTTAGGCGGGATACTTACTGGATATGTGTTGATTTACGTACTCATACTACACTTGCTGCACATTTTTGTGCAGGTACACATATGTTTAGAGGCCTTGTGGGCGCAGAGGCGCGATTATGACGGGGACTTAGGTGAGTTGCATTCTATACGACACACCGCAGCCAGCAGAGTCTCCTTCAGAGTATTGTATTTTCTTTCCT